AGCCTTTGTTCGTTCTTCGTTTGTCTTGATCCAGTGTTAAGATTGGCCTTTGTTCTCTATACATCCGTTCTTTATTAGTCTTGATCCAGTGTTAAAATCAGCCTTTGTTCGTTCTTCGTTTGTCTTGATCCAGTGTTAAGATTGGCCTTTGTTCTCTATACATCTGTTCTTTATTAGTCTTGATCCAGTGTTAAAATCAGCCTTTGTTCGTTCTTCGTTTGTCTTGATCCAGTGTTAAGATTGGCCTTTGTTCTCTATACATCCGTTCTTTATTAGTCTTGATCCAGTATTAAAATCAGCCTTTGTTCGTTCTTCGTTTGTCTTGATCCAGTGTTAAGATTGGCTTTTGTTCTCTATGTATTCGTTCTTCGTTTGTATTGCTCCAATGTTGATATCAGTCTTTGTTCTCTGTATATTCGTTCGTCGTTTGTCTTGATCCACTGTTAAGAACAGCCTTTGTTCTCTGTATATTCGTTCTTCGTTTGTCTTGATCCACTGTTAAGAACAGCCTTTGTTCTCTGTATATTCGTTTTTCATTTGTGTTGATCCAGTGTTTTAGAATTTGGTCTAAAGTATTGTATAAACATGTCAGAACAAAACGGTAAAGTTAAGTCATGATTACATTATTAAGAAAGAAAGAACTGGTGTATACATCACGCGTTTTTAGATCTGTTAAATCGTCGACATTTTTTCAAAGGACACATCAATAAATTAAGGAAATAACATGTAATGTTAAGATTTGTTTTACTAAACAATAGGCTATAGATATTTAGTGTAACAATAGCGTGTAATGTTAAGATTTGTTTTACTAAACAATAGGCTATAGATATTTAGTGTAACAAATGTTCTCTGCTATTTAAACGATTTTCTTATGAACGTAGCAAATGAATAATGACGGAAACGATACGAGTAGTCATACGTGGATATCACTAGTCTTATATACTATATCGGTATATAAATATTGGTTGAAATACTATTGTATTGAAGATAGGGAGAAGGCCTTCTACTCACCGATAAAGTTTCTTCAAATGTTAAGTAATGAAAAAAGTAACTAACGCGCCTTTCAATCTATAAAATGATTTCTTTAAATTGGATTTAATCTTGCTATTTATTTTATACTAATCCTTATTAAAGAACAAAATTAAGAACGAAGTCATATAGTTTCTTAATAATTATAATTTAGTCTGTCATAAGATTATAAATAAGTGCTGTAACTTTGAGTTACATACTGGAATCCAGATGCAGTATTAACTATAATTTAGTCTGTAATAAGATTATAAATAAGTGCTGTAACTTTGAGTTACATACTGGAATCCAGATACAGTATTAACTATAATTTAGTCTGTCATAAGATTATAAATAAGTGCTGTAACTTTGAGTTACATACTGGAATCCAGATGCAGTATTAAGATTCAAACTATATACAGTTTTACAGAGCAGGAAAAGTATCTTATAGTTAGGTTTAAGCTTAATTCAATAAATAAAACTTTTACATGTCATATTCACCTTCCATTCGACCATATTGTCGACACACTTAATTAACCAACGTTTGATGCTAGGTTGCTAGATGTAATATTTATAAGAATTTAAATGAAATAGCTCTAAGAGTGTAATTATAATATTATACAAATATAGGTGTTATAACAAATGCACTGTACAAGAACAATAATACTTTTTACATCATCAGCACATATTATCAAAAAGAAAAATATTTATATAAATAAGTATTTATGAATCGCAAGTAAGGTTAAAAAAAGCATTACAAATAGTTATGTAGTCGTTAATATATTTTCAAGTTAATATGTTTTAACGGAACGCGTAAGTAGCTTTTAATTTCCAAACTTCATATCAAGTGTGTCATACATTTCCACGAAAGACAATGTGTAAACGTTTCATGTAAACATGTACGAGTAAATGTTTCATGTAAACATGTAAATGTACTTAACACTATAGGCTTAAATAAGTTATTAACTCGAACTACCTATCAGAGATGTCCGCGCAGCCTAAAATAACAGCTGTGAACAAACTATTATAGTTGTGCCAGTTTGACATCAGGAGATATGTGTTTTATACACACATAAATAAGTTTTATACGGTAAAACATACACACATAAGTAATTTATGTTGATATGTCGATGGCTTTGTTATCCTGCAAAGCATGGTACAATTAAAAAAAATACCTATATAGCTCCAACACTTTCTGTAGTGTAACAATAGCGTGTAATGTTTTAAATGGCTTTGTTATCCTGCAAAGCTTGGTACAATTAAAAATACCTATATAGCTCCAACATTTTCTTAATGTGTAAAAAGAACAGAAAATCTTTGAAGCGAGGAGTTTTTTAATTTTTTTATGATTTATCACATGAGTGCAGGTTTCAAAGTCGTATCTTAGTATCGAAAGTGGGACAGCAATTCTGATAATTTTCCTAATCATATCTTGAAGTATGCTTTAAGAAATTAACATATAAATTATGCAGGATTTTATCATTAGTTATACTATAATATTCACGTTTTTACAATTCATTTCACGCGTATGAAATGGTCATATGTACTTGTGTGAGATTTTCTATAACGACCCCTTTCTAAAGACGTTTATGGAATCTGACATCTAAACATTTGTTGTACAAGAAAGAACTTTTAAAGTATTTCTTTCATAAAGAAATAATCTACACAGTACTTAAACTGACCAATCATAGAACACCAATAATACACCAAACTTAATCAAACCAACGAACATAAAACATATTAATCTACACAGTACTTAAACTGACCAATCATCGAACACCAATAATACACCAAACTTAATCAAACCAACGAACATAAAACATATTAATATACACAGTACTTAAACTGACCAATCATCGAACACCAATAATACACCAAACTTAATCAAACCAACGAACATAAAGCATGGAAAAACATATTTGTGAACAGCATTTAAGTTAATTGATTCCTATGAAAGGGTTGTAATTCATTTAAAAATAAACCGATAAAGTTGGTAAAAGTATTAACGTAAAATTGTTGTCAGTTTAGAATCATAACAATTATATCACTTTAAATAACTTGTAACAGTGAACTTAAGATGCCTTGAAAATCGCTTGAACTTCAATAAGGAGGTAAAAATATGTAAATTCAAACAAATTGGACGTTTGACTTCTTCATGTAGCTATTACCCTTATTGAATACTTTTCCGTTTTATATCAACTACCCAATTTCTGTCTTCACACATATTTTTGGTTTTAATTTAGTGAAATTCGGAATATGGCTTAGTAATAGAGATAGAATTTAACAACGGTTGTTAAATTAGATTACACCCATCTACTTAACAAGTTGAGCCAACACAACGACAGAAAAATCGCCCTAGAGAGAAAATGTTTCACAATTGAATTAGTATATATATATATATATATATTCAGTTAGGATTAACGGACAAAAGTTTTGGCCTTTAACAAAATACATTAGTTTGATTAAGATGGAGAAAAGTTTTGGCCTTTAACAACATACATTAGTTTGATTAAGATGGTGAAAAGTTTTGGCATTTAACAACATACATTAGTTTGACTAAGATGGTGAAAAGTTTTGTCCTTTAACAACATACATTAGTTTGTTAAATATTTTCACCTGATCGTAAAATTTGTACAAATAAGCTTTTGTGAAAAAACAACACAATAAATAGTACTTTATGATAAGGAAATGAAATATCATATTTATCCGCAACTGAGTTATCGAAGTACAGCTAAAAATGTCTTAAAAATAATTGTCAGTCTAGTGAAAAAAAGTGAAATTAAATTTGATATCTATACTTTTTTATCTTCATTATTAGCTATTCCAACAGTCTCTTGAGCCACACTTCTAGTTCTTTTGTTTCTATAGAATCTTGCCTAAAGTTGGAAGTGATTTTTTCGAAAGACGACACCTGGTTAAATGAACAGCTAGTAATAAACTAGAATCGACAAGTGAACATGTAAAGGTTTTGGTGCAGAGCCCTCAACGACCAAGTGGTTACTCTAAAAATAAAATATGAAGACACTATTAAAATTGATTCAAAATTAACAATCATATATTGATATATATATATATCCTTAAGTTATTTGATCATTTCTACCTACTTCAACAAAAGTACGTAATATAATTATATAAGTTAAGTATGCGTTAATTAAAGAGAGCAACTCTTAAGCCAATATGTCTTAGAATTATACA